TAAGAGCATTTCTAGGTCTAACAGGATATTACAAAAAATTTGTGAAGAATTATGGAGTGATTGCCAAACCATTGACCAATGTTCTCAGGCTTAAACATTTTTAATGGACAGCTCAAGCTCACGAGGCATTTGACAATCTTAAAGTGGCCATGACCACTACTCCTGTTCTCGCTTTACCCAACTTCCAACAGCCATTCCAGGTAGAGACTGATGCCTATGCTGATGATATTGGAGCTGTCTTGATGCAACAGGGGCAGCCCATACCCTATCTGAGCAAAGCTTTGGGAGATAAACACAAGACTCTCTCCATTTATGAGAAAGAATTCCTAGCTTTGATCATGGTTGTAGAGAAATAGAGACCATATTTGCAAAGGCAGGAATTCACAATATTAACTGATCACAGATCACTGTCTTACTTAAATGAACAGAACCTCCACTTTGATATGTAGAGAAAAGCAATGACAAGGCTTATAGGACTCCAATTCAAAATCTGTTACAAGCAAGGCAAGGAGAACCTGGCAGCTGATGCCCTCTCAAGAGTGGCTCACATGATGGCACTACAAGCTGTTTCTCAGGTTCAACCTCAGTGGATTCAAGAAGTCCTCAACTCATATGCTATAGATGCCCAAGCCCAGGAGTTATTGTCCCAGTTAGCTGTCTCTAGTCCCAGCACAAATGGCTTCAGCTTGGACAAAGGCCTGATCAGAAAAGGTGCAGTTATTTGGATTGGCAACAATTCAGCTTTGCAAACTAAGCTCATTGCTGCTTTTCATGCTTCTGCTATTGGGGGACATTCTGGAGTTAATGCTACATATCATAGATTGAAGAAACTTTCCTTGTGGAAGGGCATGAAAACTGATGTGGACAATTTTGTTAAACAATGCACTATATGTGAAAGGATCTAAACAATGCCTAGAGGGGGGTGAATAGGTGTATCTAAAATTTTCTGCGTAATCTCAAAGTCAAATGTCAGTGACAGTCGAAAGTCCCGACAGTTTGGGTCAGAACTTCCAGCAGCCGGAAGTTCCGACGCAAATAGTCGGGAGTTTCAGCACCTACGAGAATTTCACTACAAGTGCTAAAATGAACTTTGAGTGCGAGATATCTTACAACCCCACTTCCTAGTGATAAGATAAAGTGTTGGGGCTGCTCCTTTGACGCCGTAAGGACACCACTCCGTAGATCGAGTCCAAACCCTAAGAGAAGTGTTGGGGAGGAAAACAAGCCAACAAGAACAAATATGATAGCATAAATCTCAACAACAACAAGCACGCGGGACACAAGGATTTATCCCGAGGTTCGGCAACCCCACAAAGGAGCTCCTACGTCCTCGTTGTTCAGGTGACCACAAAGGTCGGAGTCTCTTCCACCTCCTTGCCTCTCTCAAAGCAACCACAAAGGTCACTCGAGCTTTCCACTAAGAAATCGAGGGTAATACAAACTTCACAAGACTCTTCCACAAGATGGAAGCTCTTGGGCAACGCCTAGCCGGCTAGGGTTCTAAGAACCCAAGAATAATAGACGCAAATCCAACCGGCTTGACGAAGAAATCAACTGCTCAAGCTTGCCAAAGTGATTCTCTCACTCAATTCACTCTCCTTTCACTCAAAACCCAAGGGGGATCGAAGATTGGAGCAAAGGGGAGAGGAGAGGGGCGCCTTGAATGCTTGGGAGCTGCTTTGGACAAAGGTTGGTGAGCAATGAATGAGTGGTTGACGGTTAGAAGAGAGGAGAGAGCTATTTATACTCATAGTAAAATCCAACCGTTCAAATTTACGTCGGAAGTTCCGACACAGATCGCCAAAACTTCCGGCCCTTTTTATAAAACACTGTTCATGGCGCAGTCAAAGGTGGTCAACACAGCTAGAGCCGGAACTCCTGGCGGAACGTCGGAACTTTTGGCAGTCGGGACTTTCGACTTTCATCGGGACTCCCGACGCACAGCCAAGCCAGGGGGCTAAGTCCCAGGGCATCGGGACTTCCGGCACCCAGAACTCCTGAGTCCCGTCGAGACTTCTGACGGGCGAAGGTGCGCAGGCGGGCTGGCGACAAGGTCAGCAAGCGCCGGGACTTCCGACTACCAAAAGTCCACAAACTATGTCTAAGTGTTCGTGATGTGATTTTGTGTCTCTCTTTTGATTTTATTTTTATGCTTGAGCACTTTATCTTCCTCAGACCACCTAAACTTGCATCTCTCTTTATAGTAAGGCATACCTAAACCCAAAACAAAATATAAAAGCTTTGGAGAGCGTTTTGGGTTCGTCCGCTTTTTGCACTTGAAGAATTGAGGGATACCATTTCATCTTAGATCAACTCTTTAAAACTTTCAAGGGACTAAAGCTGCAGTATATCTCATTAAGATCTCATTAGCCCTAATTAGGATATCATCAATACACCAAAATTCACATAGGGGGCAAATGCACTTTCAATATGCCAGCAAACAAAACACTCCTATGATCACCCAGCTGGCTTACTTCAGCCACTTCCTATTCCAGTTGGGGTGTGGCAGGATGTATTTATGGATTTTGTGGAGGGCCTGCCTAAACCTAAGGGATTTAGTGTGATATTGGTGGTAGTTGATAGACTCACCAAGTTTGCACATTTTATACCCATGAAACACCCATATACAGCAGTGACTGTGGCTCAGCTATTTATGGATGATATTGTCAAATTGCATTGTTTACTAAGAAGCATTGTCAGTAATAGAGACAGGATCTTTGTCAGTAATTTCTGGAAACAACTGTTCAAGCTATACAGAGTAAACTTGACACTATCTACTGCATACCATCCACAAACTGATGGCCAAACCGAAAGGATTAACCAATGTCTTGAAATGTATTTAAGGTGCTCAGTTCAGGACTCCCCCAAAAGCTGGAAATCATGGTTATCACTAGCAGAGTTGTGGTACAATTCCTCCTTTCACAGTGCTTTGGGTTGCCCTCCTTTCAAAGCCTTGTATGGTTATGAACCCAATCTAGGTGCCAGTCCATTGCTTACTGAAGATACACCTCAAGCAGTCACAAGTGATTACTAATCGGGAAGAACATCTCAAACTTCTTAAGCAGAGACTGGAACAGGCTCAGAACAGGATGAAAATGCAGGCAGACAAACACAGATCAGACAGGCAATTTGCAGTGGGTGACCAAGTGTTACTGAAGCTGCAGCCTTATACTCAATCCTCAGTTGCAAATAGGCCATTTCCAAAACTTGCTTACAAGTTCTTTGCGCCTTACAAAGTTCTAGAGCGCATTGGTGCTATTGCTTACAAACTAGAGTTGCCAGATCACAGTGAAATCCATCTTTTGTTCCACATTTCACAAATCAAACCGTTTACACCGGACTACACCCCTGTCTTCTCCATATTACCAGCATTGACTGATCTGCAGGCTTCGGAGGTTGTACCGGAGCTCATCTTACAACGCCGTCTCGTGAAGAAAGGTAACAATACTGTGCCGCAGATTCTTGTCACGTGGTCGGGGCTGCCCTCGTCATCAGCTACCTGGGAGGATCACCATGTGCTCAAGACTCGGTTTCCTACGGCGCCTGCTTGGGGACAAGCAGCTTCTTCGGCGGGGGGAGGTGTCACGGCTCAAGGGTGAAGGCGTACTAGGCGCAGTGCGTCACCAGCTACCTAAGGCGTCGTTTTCGTTATTAGCTTATGTAATAGAGTACGACTAGTGGGTCCCATGGACCAGTCGGCTGTATGCCTTATATTCCCAGCAAGTGTGGCTTGTAAGACAACTAAGATTTTGTTGTTAAACATGAACGGAAGACAGAGCCGTCCTCTGCTCCTTCCTCATCGGCGATCACCTACTTGTCTCTCACGTCTCCGGCGATCGCCGGTGGCCACGGTTGTTACATAGCACTCTTAGAAAGCCCATAGACGATCACTTTAGGACATCCACTTTTATATTAATAAATTAATAAAGACGAACATCGTAACTCGACCGTCTATATTAATCAACTATTTATACAGTCACGGTTTCTTTAGGATATCCATTTCTGTAAACGATTAACAGATTTAAGTAGTGTTTATTCTCGCCCATCTTCGGATCAGCTGGTAGTCATTAGCCCACTGGAGACTCAAATTACGAAAAATTCCATCCACTTTTATAAAATTGTTTTGTCGCGTGATGAGACTTAAATTTCAAAAAATAGAAAACCCTTCAATACGATGTCGGATGAAGATAATTTTTATATGTAAATTGTAGACCTCGATGAGATCTACAACTTTATAGTTTTAATTTTTTTCATTTGATGACAGTAAGATGCTCAAAAAATAATATAAAATTTCAGCACCATATTTTGTCGCGTGATGAGACTCAAATTTCAAAAAATAGAAAATCCTTCAATACGATATTGGATGAAGATAATTTTTATATGTAAATTGTAGACCTCGATGAGATCTACAACTTTGTAGTTTTGAGTTTTTACATTTGAGAACGTTAAGATGCTCGAAAAAATAATATAAAATTTCGACGCCTCCTGAAAATATCAAAAGTTACTGTTTACCCGCAAAACCGTCCAAGTTGAACGGTTTCAAGAGTTGGAGGGCCAAAGTTATCCGGTTTTGAAGTTCAAGATTGAAATTCGGACTTTGGTAAAAGTTGAAGGGTGTAAATTGGACTTTACCCTAAATCCGCAGGCCTTTTTACATTAATTTTCAAGCCAAGGCGGAGAGTAAACAGTTACGAAATGTCTGCATCATCTGATTCCACAAGTAACATCGGCCTGTGACAGAGCTTGCTTCTACAATCAATCACATTGTGGCTTTCATTCTAGCAATTGCATGTAGAGACAATGTTTGTTGTTGGATCAGAGGGGATGCGATCAGCTCATGGTTACACATGAAATCACTTGTTACTGGACAGACAGTGTACTATATACACAGCTCCACAAAAAAAATGCAGGAAATCGTTTCACAAAGCTAATGGCTACTCCTACCAAAAACAACTACTTAACAATCAGAGAAGGGCGCGAATCAAAGATCTGGAAGATGGCTAGGGCTGCTTCTTGATCCGCTTCGAGGCGGTTTTGGCCAGAGCATTGCATATCTCCCTCTTTCTCTTGGCGTTTTCGTCCATCTTCCCAGAGGCAACGTTGGCCTGCCGTTCCAGCGCTTCCCTCACAAAGAATTTCAGCCTCCATAGGGTTGTCTCGCTCTGCATCAGGGAGCAAAGTTAAAACAGACCGGAAAAAAATAACCAAAATGGTAGGAGGAAACTCTCAAGTTAAACGCACAGGGTGGTATTCTTTCCTTAATTCTAAGCCATGATGTAGTATAACCAGTTATGTCTATGGTTGAAACAAAAAAGAAAGGGTGAGCGCAAGGGAACACATAAATCATTACTTGGGCATCCATATCAAGATCCACTTCTTCTGCTTTAGTTTGGAAGCTAGGATTGTCTTGTGCAACAATTTCTAGCGCCTTGTTAAGATCATCTGGAGACAAGTGGCAGAGACCTGCACCCAGCTTCCTCTTCTCATCTGTGGTCATTTTCCTATAATATCCAAATTTCAGCAACCATGTGATCCAGATTCAGATACACGGGTAGAATGTCATCATCACAACATAAAAAATAATAGCATATAATCAAATCAAAAGGCATAGAATGAGCATTATAAGATATACCTGCATCTGTGAACCACCATTTTCCGGAGCTCCTCCAGCTTCCTATTGATCTGATTTAGCTGGGGAGAAAAAAGAAGAGAGGAGGTACTGAATATCCATGGGAAATAGAATAGGATACTTGAAAATCTAATACTGAATGAGGCAATGAAGATGAGCCAACATTTGTACATATTGCATCCAAAACCACACCATCAAACTGCTATTAACATCCCAACAACTAACAATGTAAACGAGCACCATACCTCATCATCAGTATCTTTTGCTAATTTTGCGATTGCAACTTCTCGAGAAGTATTTGTGGCTGCAACACCCTTTGATTCCTCCTCCTTTTGTCTTTTTTCCTACAAGCATATGTACAGAAAATATAATGCACAAATAAAAGGTTCCGACATGCTTTTATTGGCTAGGCAGTGAGAGAGAGAGAGAGAGAGAGATGTATGACTAAAAAACTTTACCTCACTCTCAACTTTAGGAAGAAAATGGAGCCACTTCTCTTCAAATTTCTCAAGCAATGATTTAGCCATCAAGTGGATTATATTTTGATCATCATTGTACTTCATCGCATTGGCAAAAATTAATCGAACATCAGAACATATTTCTCGAACATTGGTGTAACAGGTACCATCTTTCCTTTCCATTTTCTTTTGGATGGTAGAGAAGTCCATAGGTTGGGTAATAATCTGTTAACAAGATAAACTAAACATATGAAAATCACTCCAAACAAACTTTACTGATACATAAATAAATAAATATTAAATGCCCCTGCTTTGGCTGTTCGAAAAGGACACGATAATAACAAAACCAAAGCAGCTCTAACTATGGTGCATCTAACCAGCTTCCAAGGAGAAGCTAAATACAGAGAAACATATACAGCTAAATGTCAAGGATTCCACAATTTGAAGCAATATCCAATCTTGTAACAGATAATAGAGGTTAAAGACACAACCTTGTACTTCAGGAAACTGAACATAAACTGTTGTATTAATTCAATGGTAAAACTCTAACAAGGGGGTGAGAAGGTTCCACTGCTAAAGGAAAAGCCACTCACTACAATGGCTCATATATCCATTGTAGTTATATTTGTATACCTGTGCTTGCAATATAATACAAACGGAGGCCAAACTGGATCAAGGTAAAAGTTAGTGTACCTCTTCAAGATTATGTATTGCTCATACATCTAGGATAACACTAAAGACATACAGCAACATCAGTAGTGATTAATAGTTATGCTAACCTACAACAATATCCCCTTGTAATAAAAATTACTACTCCGTTAGGAAACAACTACAGCAATAAATGACAAAATTATATTAGCAGTTTTAGCCATTACTTTGTGATAGTCAGGAATGTGCAGGTTTACAACATCCACCGGCTCCAGAAATGGCCATGCATCTTTATGAGAGGTGATCTGGAAGGATGAAAATCAAGAAGACTGAGTGAAAATGGCAAAGGAATAAATGGGAACTTTCATATGGCAAACCAATCACACATTTTCTGATTCTCCTAGAATAACTAAATAAAAAGTTAGAAGGACCTAAAAGTAATTTAGAGGGATGTTTCTCTGTCCGAAGGAAGAGATGTAGTGATCTGGGGTTTAGAGAGGTTAGGGAGACAACAACAGCAACAACAACAAAGCCTTTAAGTCCCAAACAAGTTGGGGTAGGCTAGAGCTGAAACCCAGCAGAAGCAATCAAGGTTCAGGCACGTGAATAGCTGTTTTCCAAGCACTCCTATCTAAGGCTAAGTCTTTGGGTATATTCCATCCTTTCAAGTCTCCTTTTATTGCCTCTACCCAAGTCAACTTCGGTCTTCCTCTGCCTCTCTTCACGTTACTATCCTAGCTTAGGATTCCACTACGCACCAGTGCCTCTGGAGGTCTCCGTTGGACATGTCCAAACCATCTCTTTCGGGTTTCATCTCCATTAGAATGGCTAGATTTAACGTTGGCTTGCCACGCCTATCACAACCCTCCTCCTTTACCAGGGCTTGGGACCTGCTATGTTGAGACAACATAGGCGGAGTTAGAGGTCAGGGAGACACACAACAAAATCTCTATACAAAGCTTTGACTGCTGGTGGTGTGATGAATCAACATACGGTGGATGTATAAGACTGCAAAGCTCTTCTAATGGTGAAGATCTTTCTGTGGATGGCATTCCATGGTAGGATCCAATCAGCAGTCCGAATTAAGAAAACAAAGTGGATGGGATAAGAACAGTGCAAATTTTGTGGAGAGGGTGAAACTACTGATCATATCATTTTTCTGTGTCCTATTGCTGTTTTCTTCTGTGCTTTTTTTTAGAAGTTTGTTTCTGTTTTGTATAAAACTCCAGTAGACTGTAATGACTTTTATTCCTCCTGGCTTTAGATATAGGAAGACAAAGGTTTGTGACTCGCTTTTATTGTGCAGGTTCTCTGTGGGTGCTGTGGAACCAATGTTTTAAATAGCGGGCTAAGCCTCTTAGCGGCTGGCTTTCCCAAAGGCTACGAAAGGATATAGCGGGCTAAGCTATTTAGCGGCCGAGCAAAAAATATGTGAAACATAGAGGAATTTTACACAATATAAACATAGAAGATGAACTGATGAAGACATTGCAGATACCAATTACAGAAAATCAGTTAGTCACATCAGATGTAGCCAAATATGTAAAGAACAGACTATAGAGGAATCTTGCATGTCTATGGCTGGGAGCCTGGGACTTGGCCGTAGCAGGCTTGCAGCAACAGCAGCTGCCGCACTCATAGCTGCTCGTTGGTCCTGCACTGCCGCCGGTCGCATCCTCGCAGGAGCAATAGCCGCTGCCGCCGCCGCCGGCACTCGCGAAATCGGAGAGGAATCAGAACATGTTACTGAGTTGCTTTGGGCCTGCGCGTGATATGGGCCGAAGGGAAACGAAAACCCACGCAGAAATTGCCCAATAGCGGCGCTAAAGGACCTCTGTTTAGCGGAAGTAGCGCGCTATTAGCCGCTAATAGCGGAAATTTTCCTGTAGTGCTAAATGTGTCAATGCGTAGCGTCGGACGGCCTAAAACGCTATATCCTGCTATAGCTGGGGCTAAATCCCGCTATTTAGAACATTGTGTGGAACACAAGGAACGATCTGGTGTTTAACAACAAATTAATCAGGATCAGTAGTGGTCTTATTCAAGCTGGTGGCCTTGCTGCAGAACTGGACGGTGATGGTCTCAAAGAAGGTTAAAGAAAGAGTGGCGGAGCTTATCAGGCACATGGTAACGGCATTGATCAAATTTAGAGGAGTGTTGTTTGCTCTATTGTGGTTGAGTTTTGGCTAGGTTGCAATAGTCTGGTGTTGTGTTTGCATGAAGTGCTGAAAGTAAATGTGGCTGTGGCTGTATATTTGTGGCATTTTTGCTGGTAGGTTTTTAGAGGAGTTTGCAGAGTGGTGGTTTAGATTCTGGTGAGTATTGAGTTAGTTTGTGTCTTTCAGGTTTTAGAGATCTTCCGCTATAAGCTAGTGTCCGCAGTCAGCTGTGCCAATGGTCTTTGGTCTAAAAAAGGAAATTGGAAGGGACCACTGGAGAAGAAAAATATAAACTTTGTCAAAATTATCTACAAACTAGAGAGATATCAGGTATTAACTCAATTGAAACAATTGACCTTGAATATGATCAGCCAACAACAAAGACATCGTATGCCTCAATAAAGATGCTTTTTAGTTGCATATGTGATATCATCAATACCACTTTCAAAAGCTGCAATGGTTTAAGCTGCAACCGTAAACCGTTTCATTTTGATGATCTATCAGGCGTTCAGGTCGTTTACTGTTCTAAATTGGGCAGACTTTCTACAGCATGCTTCACGATGCAACAAAATAGAGCGAAGCCAGCAAGCACTGACGAGATAAACAAAGAAACGTGCAGAGATTATTCATGCCAAGATTCAAGAACCAACTCGAGAAAGGTCACCTCTTTCAAAAGCACGCCGAACTGGCGCATAAGGTCGGGCATCCCCCTCGAGTATGCCCCGTGCCTGCCGCCACCGCCGCCCTTCCGCCCGCCGCTTCCGTGCTTCTTGCCATCGTAGAAGTCCACCACCTCTTTCACGCGCCTCTCCAGCTGCAACACACACATCGCAAACAACCCCCAATCTGAGAACTACTGCGCCCGAATTGTCGCGCTAACAAAAAAGAACACAAATTCCCCCAAATTCGCCAAACAAAACATTCTGATCGACGCTTCTCCCGCACTAGAATCGCGTCATCGTCGCTATACGAGACGGGACCAGGAGCAGGCAGTCGGAGGATTACCACGTCGGTCTTCGAGACGAGGTCGTCAACCTGGCGCCGGAACGCAACGGCCTCCGACTCCACCTCCTGGGGGGCCGCCTCCGCTGCCGGCGCTGGGGCGCCGTTCGCCGGCGTCATCTAGGGTTCGCGGCCGCGCGCGTGTGCCGGCGAACACCTGCAACTACACTACAGCCGACCGCCGCTCTGACGGTTTTTTTTTGTCTTTTCTTTTCTTTTTTTTTTCTTTTTTTTGTCTGACGGCAAGTGCCTATGATGAGATATGGGGCCTCCTGCGCCGGTAGGTGTACAGCTCTCTATGGGCCGGGCTGAACATGACGACAACATGGGCTGGGCTGCATAGGTGGGCTAAAGAGGCCTAGTCCGCAAGGTTGTGGATTGCTTTTGAAAGAAAATGTCTAATTTACCTCCGTCAAACTATCGCGGACTCGCGGTCCTCTTATTTTCCTCCCGAACTTACAAAACAAGTTTTTTTTAGGTTAATTAGATATGTGCCTTTATAATTTTACCGTTTTTAAATACACCATTACTATTTAAGAAACTATATCATCGCGATTAGAACTCTGTGGATATCTGAGATACACCATTATATACATCTGGATACGATTTGGGCCTACTGACAGATGTACAAACGGTACTGTATATCCGTAGGGACAAGAATGCCCTCTTCCTCTTCTCTTTCACCCTCACTGACACGTGGGGTCCATTCGTCAGCCTCCCTCCCTCTCTCACTCTTCTCCATCTCCGGTCATACCCACCACACGCGAGGGGCCTGCCGCCACAGCCGGCGAGCGCACAGCCACGGGGGCACGTCGGGCTAGTCGCGCCGCACGGGGCTGGCGTGTCGGCGAGCACCGAGCGGCACGGACACGGCCCTCGGGGTCGGCGCAGCGGGCAGCGTGGCCAGAGAAGAATCCAGCTGGGAGCAAGCTCGGCCGACCTTTGCGCAGAGCTGGCGGCTAGCGAGGGCGGCGGAGGTGGCTAAGCCCGTGCGGCTGGGTGACGGCAATGGTGCCCTCGGTCTCAGCCGCTGGCGTGGTGAGCTGAGTTCGCGACCCTTGGCCCGGCAACGGTCAGATCCGCGCGTGAGACGAGCTCACCGGCAAGGTCCAGCTCACGGAGCTTTGATTGCAGTCACGTCGACGCTGATGGTGCGGGCGAAGTCTCCTCCAGTCGGGTGCCGCTGCTCGCTATTGTCGGCATCGGCATCTGGCGGTTGGGCGACGCCGCCCTGGCTGGGTGCCGTCGGACATCGTGTCTAGTATCTGGGGTCGGGAAGGAGATGGCCGGCATCTGGTGCTATACGGCCTCTGTGTTGCTGTGCGGGCGTGCCCATGGATTGTGCTCACGCTCGTTAGCATGTCATCGTCCACGTTCGCCTGAGAGGAGCGTCCACGCTCGCCGGCGCACCGCGCCCACTCGACCAAGCTCAGGGTAGAGGACAGGAGAGAGGAACGGGATGACACATTGGGCCCACCTGTAAGTGAGGTAGAGTGGAGGGGTATTTTGGTCCATACAAAAATACAAAATTGTCTATACACCTGCACGTGGGCCTAAAGACGCCGCAGACGTATATAATGGCATATTTCAGCTTTTGCAAGGATTATAATGGCATTGGCATGGTTTCACGAATAGTAATGGTGTGCTTCAAAACTAGTAAAATTATAATGGCACAGGTCGAATTAACCCTTTTTTTACCTCACTTAACTTTTTTAACTTGGATGATTTTGCTGACGTGGCACCATATTAGAAGAGGTAAATCAGACAAGAAAGTTCAGGAAGGTAAATGTGACTAGAAATATTTTTAAAAAAAATATTCAACAATTCATAATGTTTTGAAGTCCATGTTATAACAAATCTCTTCACGATTATCTGTGTATGCATGTTTGCTCATGAGTTATTGAGCAGGACTATTTTTGGAAAATGATAAGGAGGCTCTGATCGTTGGAGTCAACACAATGCTGGAAATGGCCGTGAAGCTGATGGACAAGAAGTCTATGGATCGTCAACACTTGATGATAGAAGAGAAGGACAGCCAGGAGGACTAAGAAAAGGAGATGGCGGCTGGACTCTGTATCTAGCAGTCCTGGAAGACCTTAGAGCATTTTCAGCAATTCTACCTAAAACACACGCCATACTTTTCTATTTAGATAGCCACCAATTTTCATACTACTCATATTTTATGGTTTACTCCAGCAACACTGTCTAAAATAGACCCTCCAAATCCATCCTTATAGAGGATGACATGTGAGACCGACCTGTCATCCTCTTCCCTATCTCATGGCCCATGGAAGAACTCGGCCATCCTCGTCGGTCGCATCGCGCAGGTAAGGGGAGCTGCTGAGAAGCTCCTAATCTCCCATCGGTGGTGGGCAGGACTGGGGAAGCCACACGTGGCAGGGCTGTCGACGTCGGCACCGCTGCCACGCCGGCGTCCGCCACGACTACAGCGTAGGGCAAGCCGTGCAGGAGGGGAGCCGTCGCGTCGAGCATGGGACCGTTGGCGGCCAACACCAGGGAAGCCGCACTAGCCACGGCCGCCAGCGTTGGGCACCGTTGCCACGCCGGGCAGGGGAACCGTCGCGTCGGGCTTGGCCGCGCCAGGGAGGGGAGCCACCGCATCGGGCAGGCCGCCGCGTCGGGCTTGGCTGCCGGCGTCGGGCTCCTACCATGCCAGGGATGGCGGGGCCGGTCAGGTCCGATGGCCAAGGCGGTCGCATCAAGTAGCAGAAGAAAGAAAAAAAAGTAGGGAGAGTGGAGTTGGGGCCAACGGAAGTAGAGGGTCAAGGGGAAAAAGTAGGGGCCAACAAAAGTAAGAGGTTTAGTAGGGGGTCTGCTGGAGCTGATTTTTTAACCCTCGCTACCCAAATTCTGAGTAGGGGGTCCAGTAGGGGATATTGCTGGAGATGCTCTTATGCGTTGGGAGCTCGCTATGTAAGCTATGTTTCTTAGGCCCCGTTTGGCCGGGCTCCGGGCGGCTCTGGTTCCCGCTGCTGTATCACTGTTCACCAAAGCCGTTTTTCTCTCTCCTTGTTTCCTCTCTCATTGACACCACCGGAGCCGGAGAAGCTCGTTTTCCAAGCTCCCGCGGCTCCGGGTACAGTGTCGCTACAGTTTGTAAGGCGTGTTGGTGGTTGACTGTCCCGCGGCCAAACGGGCTCTTACAGCACATTCCTATTTTGTTACCTAGGCTGGCGTCCATTATATCGTCTCGTCAGATACTGCTGTCTTTTAAAGTTTGCTCTAGCTCCCTTGACTGATCGCCTGTTGTAAGGCGTGTTGGTGGTTGACTGTAAGGTTTTCAAGATACTCTAGTTCTTCTTTCTTCTGATACACTCTTTTATGCTGTGTTTCCGTTGAAATTTCAATGGAGATGGGGTGGTTCCTCACGTAAAAAAAACAATTCTTAAAAATAAAATTTTAAAACCTAATATTTTACATGGAAAATAATGCAATTAAAAATCCAAAATCTGGGGCGTCGTCGGGACATTATTTGGGCTATCTTTAGAAGACATTATTTGGTTGTAAGCACAAATTGAATTAGTATGCCTCCACCATTGGACGTGGGGAAGGGATAGAGTGACAACGGATGTGAGAGAGCTTGCCCCGCCCACAATCCGCCTCCACCATTGGTGAATCCCTACTCAAGGCCTCCCTCTAAACCCATGCCCCCACCAGAGATGTCCTAAACCCTAGCAACCCTAAATCCTAACTACGAACCTGGAAGACGAGTTGGAGAGAGTTTGGATCTACATGTGAGAGAGGGGAAAGAGAGAGGTTGAAGTCCACGTCACAATGGGGTCTATCGAAGAAGAGGTGTGGACAGAGGCAAGCCACTGGCAGCTGCGCCACAAGGTTTCCACCCTTGGAGAAGGTAAAACTAAAACATATTTTTGCTAGCATTCGATAATGATAGAATTATGCACCCGCAACTCCACCAAGTTGATCCAAGTTCTATATGGTATGGATAATGACTGAAAAAATAGTGGTCCATGAAATTCACTGGACCGTACTCGTACGGTACCAAGTTGACAATCCATTTTGTACAGCATCACAGAACAGCAACCTGAATTAGGGCTGAGGTACATCAAGTTCATGTACAATGGACGTGATATTGTCAAATTCAAGAAGAAAAGTGCATTACTGATTACAAATGTATAACATATATGGACGTGACAAATCAAGCCTCCATTTACATAATGGATGTTGTAAAAGCTAAATGTTCAAGAATCACATAGAACAAAGAGGTTCAAGTTATAACACAGCAGAATATTGCAGATAAACTCAGAATAATCCAGTTGCCAAGTGACTGAAACTACAACACTAGAAGTGGCACACAATTGTCAGCTCTGAAATATTACGCGGACTGAAAAAGTGAAAATGCTGATAGTCGAAGTCAGGGGGGGAAAAAAACTATCCAAGCAGCACTATTGTAGCAAAAGTTAATTAAACCCAAGATGCAAGAAGAGCCCAAAGGACAAATCATGCTACTTCACCGATATTTGTAAATACATCAGCAGTTGAAGACGATCATTGTAACATCATGGACTTGAAACTTTTAGCTACTAATAAAGCCAGAACCACTTAACCAAGAACGTAACAAACAGAAGAAACAGAGGAAAGGTAATACAACACCCAATGCTTGTCATGAAGCCCATTATGCTATAGGAGCATATATGACCTCACTTGGCTTTATTGAAAAAAAGTATTCAGCGTGGGGCCATGAGCAATATCAATTTGCTATTGGTTTCAGATCAGATATGATGTCATTTGGACATGAAAAGTAACCTTAAACTTCAGAAGACTCATTGCTAAACTGGACAGCACATACTGCCAGAACAGTGGAAATTAACCTTCCTGGAGGTTGGAGTTCATGGTATAGAGCAAAAAAAAAAAAAAAAAACTGTTTTCAATTAAACAGAACATGTGTGGCAATAACTGAAGTAGAACAATACAAACTGAAGCAGCTGCTATCAGGGTGACACTTTTGCTCTTAACATCAACAGCTGCAATCAGGCAGGCATATCATCCTCTTCCAAATACCAAATTGGCATGGATTATTCATTCATTTGATTAAAGTACATGACATAGTCAGAAAAGTAAATGAAGATACTGTGAGATCATACTGCAATCATCCTTATTTCTTACCAGGAGAAGTATCGATAGTAACTTCGGTCAACCTCTACCCTGAGAACCACCATGTATATGAGCTACAAGGCAACAATCTGAATCCGAGCCCCAACAGAGCAAGAAGCAACTGTGCTGTTTCTATGGCTGCTGCTTGGGGTCACGGTACCCAGCCTCCACCAGGACCTTCTCCTTCTTGGCGAGCTCAATGTCGTGATCAACCATCATCTCCACGAGCTGCTGGAACCCAACCTTGGGCTTCCATTTGAGCACCCTCCTGGCCTTGGTGGAGTCCCCCTTGAGGCTGTCGACCTCTGCAGGACGGAAGTACTTCTTGTCAATGACCACATGATCCTTCCAGTTGAGCCCGGCGTAGCCGAAGGCAGCCTGCAAGAACTCCTCGACGGTGTGGGATTCCTCGGTGGCGACGACGTAATCGGCCGGCTGATCCTGCTGCAGCATGAGCCACATTGCCTCGACGTAGTCCCCCGCGAACCCCCAGTCCCTGGCCGCCGAGAGGTTGCCGAGGAAGACCTTGGTCTGCAGGCCGACCTTGATGCGGCCGACGGCGCGCGTGATCTTGCGCGTGACGAAGTTCTCGCCGCGGCGCGGGGACTCGTGGTTGAAGAGCACGCCGTTGCAGGCGAAGATGCCGTAGGCCTCGCGGTAGTTGACGGTGTACCAGTGCGCGGCGACCTTGGCGGCGGCGTAGGGGAGCGCGGGTGGAAGGGCGTGTCCTCGCTCTGCGGCGGCGGCGTGGAGCCGAACATCTCCGAGGAGCCCGCCTGGTAGTAGCGGATGGGCTTGCGCGACAGGCGGACGGCCTCGAGGAGGCGGAGCGCCCGGTGGCGGTGACGTCGGCGGTGTAGTCGGGGATCTCGAAGGAGACGGCGACGTGCGACTGCGCGGCGAGGTTGTAGACCTCGTCGGGGGAGATGGCGTCGAGCGCGCGGCGGAGGGAGGAGGAGTCGGAGAGGTCGGCGTAGTGGAGCCGCATCGGGGGCCGTGGCGACGACGGCACCGCGTGCGGGTCGTGGTAGATGTGGTCCAGCCGCTGCGTGTTGAAGTTGGAGGAGCGGCGGATGAGGCCGTGCACCTCGTACCCCTTGGACAGGAGCAGCTCCGTCAGGTAGCTCCCGTCCTGCCCCGTGATGCCCGTGATCAGCGCCACCTTCCGCGCCGGCGCGAGGGACCGCGGCACCGGGGCGGTCTCGCCGTCGCCGGCGGCAGTGGCAGTGGCTGCCGCGCCGTTGGAATGGGCCATTTGGGAAGCGAGGAAGAGGATTGCCTCGGGTCGGCGGTCAGATCTGCGGGGGAGAGGGGAAGCAAATTTGGGGGGAAGAAAGCAGGGGAGGCAGGGAGTATTTGTAGGGCCCGCCTGCAAAGCCGATGCACCGGGGTCTGGTCCAGTCAAGTGTGCGTGTATACTTGTCAAATGAGCAAAGCAAAAATTACTCTTTTCCTTTTCCGGACTTTGTGAACAAAAAAGTATCGGTGGCTGTATATCCTTTGGCTCCGTGAACGTACTAAGATTTTTTAAACCAAGGATATAGGTGCGTTCGGTTTGCTGAAACTTGGTAAAGTGGCTAAAAACACTGTTCTAACTGAAATAGTATAAGAGAGAAAACATTATTTCGGCTAAAAAAAAAAGCCGAGCAAGCCGGATTTAAGGTAAGCCAAACAGGGCCATATTTGGAACACAACAGGAATCATGCATGAATTTTACAGGAATTAGTTTAATTTTATAGGATAAAAACTAGAAACATGATAAATTTCCCTTAGTTCCAAACATGTCCTAGCTACTGTGCTAAGAGCATCAATGTATTTTTAAAAGATCTCTTAAAAATTATAAGTATATGAGATGAGATAGGAGATATGTTGCGGCGCCTCCATCTTCTAAAATGCTACTTTTTTAGATATGAGATTGGGGCATGTTTGTTTTGCTAAAATTTGGCTGCTGGTGATGCTGATTTGTTGTTAGAGAAAAACGTTGTTCCTTTATTGTAAAGTACTGCTAAAGTAGTGCTAAAAACAGGGCGTGGATAGCCTATCTAGTAGAGATGCTCTGAGATATGATATAGAGGATTTGATAAGTTGAGGACTTCTTCGAAATGAGGATTATTATATCTTTATCATATTGAAATTTCATAAAATCAATTTAATTTCGCATAAAAATACAAGATTTAAGGAAAAAATACATGATGCACTTATGAGTGTCACATGTTTAGAGCATCTCCAAGACTCTTTTAAAAAAAACTTACTCTCTAAACTAAATCATTATTTAGGGCATGTTCGGTTGTCTGAATTCTGGAGGAATCTGGATGGTTTGGAGAAATGCTAGAGGAATTTGTGAGAAAAAACACTGTTCTGGATGAAAAAATAAGCAGATCAAGCCGGGTTTAAGGGCACGTGAACGGGGCTTTAGAGTCATTTGAATATAAAATGATATCTATATATTTTCACCCTCCAACAACTTTTTCTATATCTCGTGCGCACGCTGATAGATAGTTAATCTCGCTCTCCATCTTTAGCTAGCGAGAAATCCAAAATAGAATAATAATATTTAGAGATTTAACTAAAAAAGATTGTTGGAGGATATTTCTCATCAAAGTATCTATTCCTATCAATAAGGAAGGATATAGAAAAAACATAATCATAAAAGTGCCTTTTATCATTGTTTTTATGACGAAGCAAACATCCCTAGTTAACCCTATCCTTTTCCAACCTTCTAATCCCTATCCCATTGGTCTTTGCTAGCTAGGGATATACCTGGCCATGCAGCCCGAGGCCCGACAGCTCGGCCCGAAGCCCGGCCTTTTGGCCCGACAAGAGCACGGCCCGGTCCGCAGGCCACTAGGCTCAGGCTGGCCCGGCACGCAGCGCCAGGCCGTGCCTGGGCCGGCAGTTGAGCCCGCGGGCTGGCACGGCCCGGCACGGGGTTTTGGAGGAGGCCCGGCAGCGGCCCGAGAGGGAGGCGGCCCAGCTCACCAACGGTTCCCCCCACGCCGCCACCCTAGACCCCACCTATAAAAGGCGGCCGATGCGGCGCCCCCCTCCCGGCCTCCCCTCAATCCCGCACTCCCGCTCGTAACCTAACCCTAATCTCCAAATCCCCATTCGCCCATTCGCATCCCACCACCACCAGCTGTTGCGCCACTCTCAAATGCAGTGGCCAGTGACGCCTCGCCGTCTCCGACGCCGACTCCGGTGACCACGATCCGCCTCCCACCGGCGTCCTCCCCTCTGTCCCTGCCTCTCCCTTCTCCCTCTCTCTATCTCCCCTCTAGATCTCATTGATTATGTGAGTTGGTTGTCTCTGTTTATCCCTCCTCCGCCATTCACCGTCGTTGCTGACTAAGTGTCGTCTTCTCTGGACTCTGGGTGCTCGTCGTCTTCTCCAGCACCGGGCTCCGGCTGCGCAGGTGAAACCCTAACCCTAACCCTAACCCCTAACCATGTTATAATTTCTTATTTTTCTTTCAATGTATGCTTCTGATTTCTTCTTCTTCCATTGTTTCGCAGGTCGGTAGCCAATGCATCGTCTTCTAGCTGTGGCTTAGAGCGAGCAAGGCGGCCACCCGCACCGTCGAGGAACGGGGCTAGAGAGGCGGCCATGGCCGACAAGGATGGCCTCCTACCGGTTGGCCTGGCCCCAGAGGGCGAGAACGACGACGACACTCGAGCCGATGCTGCTGCGTTGTTCAGTATCGATCTTGGGGACGGCTCTGCTGCTCCGATCGATGTGGACGCGGACGGTGGCGAAGGGGCGACGGCGATTGCGAACTCCAACGGCTCTGCTCCTTCGATTGCTGGTACAGGTAACACTAGTAAGCGCAAATCGCCTGTGTGGGCTGATTTTGAGGATATCTATAAGGTTATTAATGGTTCTAGAATTTGCACCAAGGCTATTTGTAAGATGTGCAAATCTACCTTGTCTGCTAGATCTGCTGCTGGCACTGGTCACTTAAAAAGGCACCAAAAATCATGTAGGATTAAAACTAATCAACGTGCTAGGGTTCAATCTAGGCTTTCATACAATCCTGATGGTTCTGTTTATAACTGGGATTATAAACCTAAAGTTGCTAGATCTAAATTATGTCGTTTGATTGCTAAGCTTGATCTGCCTTTAGGAATTGGTGAGACTGATGCTTGGAAAGAATACATTGTTAGAGCTCATAATCCTAGGTTTGTTAAGGTCTCTAGATAGACCACAACTAGAGATCTTGGCAAACTTTTTAATGAACGACGTAATATAATTAAGAACTGTGTGTTGTCTGGTGCTTCTTCTGTTGGTCTAACATCAGACATTTGGTCTGGTAATGCAAAGGAAGACTATATCAGTGTTGTTGCTCATTATGTGACTGCTGACTGGGAGTTGCAGAAAAAGGTAATTGGTCTCCGCTTGATTGAGGTAAAACTTACTGGTGAGACTATTGCAGAAAAAGTTGCTTGTGTGATTGAAGAATTTGGTTTGCTTGACAAGGTGTTCTCTGTTACTCTTAACAATGCTTCTTCCAATGCTAAGGTTATGGAAACATTGACACCTATGTTTGCTGGTTATCTGGGTTCTGAACCTGCACCTACACCTTCAGATCCTAATAAGGTTAAGTATCATGTTGTGCATCAACGTTGTGCTTGCCATATTATTAATCTGATAGTAAAATCTGGCTTAAAAAGGTTCAAACCTTACACTGAGGATTTTAGAACTGCTATTAACTTTTTGAATTCATCTAATCAAAGGATTGCTTTGTTCAAGAACTTTTGCATTGCTATAAGGATGTTTTTTCTGTGTTCATTAATTCCAACTATGGCTCAATGTTGTTAACTGTAAGTCACTGGTATATTGCTGATAAAATACTTGAATTTTCGAAAGTTTTTATGACTCCTGATCACTCTTTCCGGTGTTTACTATCCAACTAGTCCACTTATTCTGCACCATCTGCTAGATATTATAACTCATTTGCATGAAAGTTCAAAGGATCAGAATCTGTTTTCTATTGTCTATCCTATGAAGCTTAAATACCTAAAATACTGGAAGGACATACCTCTGTTGTATTTATTTGCATTCATTCTTGATCCTAGAGGTAAAATGAGAGGTTTATTTAATGTTCTTACCATAATGTAATAAAAAACTGGTTTTGACTACAGTTCTTATTATGGTATTGTGAAAACTAAAATTTTCAAGTTGTTTAACAAGTATGAAGAAAAGTTTGGTGCAGCTAGGTCTCAAAGGAGGGCTGCACATCCTGCAAGCATCACAGGTAAGAGGAAGCAGGCATGGGGAAGAATTTTTGGAGGCCCTGGAGCATCTGGTGTTGTTGGACCTTCCCCTGCCTCTGCTCCCAGTCCTTCTTTATCTACTTCTGCTGCTGCTTATGAGCTATCTGCTTATCTGGACAGTGACAATGTCACTGCATATGAGGATGACTTTGATCTACTCTCTGGTGGTGTGACCATAAGCTAACATATCCAGTGCTTTCTATCATGGCTAGAGACATTATGTCGGGTTCTGTTTTTCAAAGTGTCTTGAGAATCTTGTTTGACAGATGGGAAGAATACTTGAGGAGCGGTGCCATCGACTATTGCCTGAACATGTGGAGATGCTTGCTTGCATAAAAGATTGGGAGCTGGGTGAAAGAAGACTGCAGCATGATGTTGACAACCAAGAACTGGTAGACTCCTTCGAGCATCTCTATCTTGATGAACATGCATCTACTTCTGGGGCCCCTTCTGCTAGCACATCTGCATCTGTGGCTTCTGCATCTGGTGGTTCTTGAGTTGAGAGTTGAGACTGAGACAGTGAGAGTGTGAGACTTGAGAGGTGAGCTGAGAGCCTGAGGCTTGATTATGATCTGTATCTGTGATGTATCATGTAAACCTTTGAACATATTTAAGACTTATAAGAGCTATGCTGCACTCTTTTTTCTTTTCTGGGGTTTCTCACAAGGGTGAGTTTTACCCAGAAAGGTTTTTAATGAGGCAGCATTGCACACAGCTCAGTTATCCTTTTAATTTCCTCTTGTTCTCTGTGTGTATGGTTTGGTTTTGGTTTGAAGATTTTCTGGGAAAAAATACTTCAAATTTGAATACTTCTTGTTGAGATGAATTTTTTTATGTGTTTTGAACCCTACGGGCCTCGGGCTGGCACGGCCTGGTGATTTGGCCGTTCCTAGCAGGCCGGCACGGCACGGATTTAGGCCCACAGGCCCGTGCTTGGGCTGATGGCAAGGCACGAGGCCCGCAGTGGCATGGCACGGGAGGCAC